CCCTGGTATAATTTTGGACTAGTGCAATGTTAAAAGCTCATTCCTAATGACTTTGACTTGTTATACAGACAACAAAGTCTTTCTGGAAATAAATTGTGCCACACAGTGCTGCTACTGTGTTCTGTATTCGAGTTCATATTGGGGTAGAGTTGTTTCAATCACCGAATGTTTCGCCGATACTGGAACAATAAATGGCTTGTCAAGCGGTTAGCTGTGACTGACTTGTAAATTTTCTACATCAGTGGTATCCCACCCCCTTCCGCATCACTTTCGAGTATATCCACCAACCAGATGTCCATCAACAAGCGCTGCGTACAACCGATTGAGCACGCGATACAGGCACAGAATCACACAAGTTCACAGGTACGTTGTCAGAGTCAACCGGGCCAGACGGAGTTCAAATTCGCTTTCATACTGGATAAACACACACGCTCGCAACCCATTCAACGACACAAAAATCTTGTTTATGAAGAGCACCAACAAGACTGACGAGGCACGATGACCTCGTTTACCCGGAACAATATGTTGTTCATTATTCAGGTAAATACGGCACCGCGTGGACGCTTTTGGTTGTCCTGAGTCAATTCGAACTCCTGCAGACTGGTGTTAATTACGAAGACAAGTTGAATCTATCTGTAAACAGAGTAGCTCTGGATGCAGTGCCTATCGTATACACGCACCTAACCTTGGTCCGGCAAGTACTTGAACTAGTGAATGGATAATGGCCAAACTGGAATGAGACGCAGATCTATCATGCAAGTATGGAAATTGCTGTTTGAAACAATCGACTCCGAGTTGGTGCTTAATCCGAGAAAATCAAATCAAGTCAGTAGTAACTAGTTTCCGGCATTTTTTTCACACTATATTTGTGCATGTACATTTACAAATTCTGGCCAGATTAAATTAAAATTATCAATTGTTGACTTCTTCAACGAAACAAGCACTTACGTAATTTGATGTAAACGTTTTTCCCTGTCAACAAGTACACATGTGAGAAATGGTAAAACAGAAGTTTGAGCCTTCAGCACGCGGTGAATGCAGATATAACTTTTGAAAGTTCATTTATAATGGGTGAGTGTTTGAGAGTATTTTGGAAATGAAATTTGCAAATGCTTCCAGGTTTCTGTCCGTGATAGGGTACACAGGTGTTGCCCTGGTGATGGTACTGCATATTACGTGTCTCAAGAAAACTGATTCGTCCTCGATTTTCGTCCAAAGTATAATTAAGAACACAATGTCGGCTAACATATGTTTTCGGCAAATTCCTTTTCAAGCCTTTACAATCACATTTACACGAAACAGTTTCAATAGAGCCAAACAGATAGGTGGATGAGTCAGGTGTTTTGCAGTGATCTCAACAGAACTCGAAATTTGTGAGCTGTTTAGATCATAACCAAGGTCGTTACGTCATGGTCGTGTGAACAACTGATTTTCTCTTCCCCTGGCCAGGGAATTTCGAGAGCTTGAATCATTTTGCGTTGTGCGCAAAGCTCAGGCTTCAGTAGTCGGATGGTAATCACCTCTGTGGTTGCTAACGTCCGAAACCGTATTGTTCTCGGAGGGTGTGGTGATTTTAACTGTCGAACGCATATCAA